TTATTTATTAGGCAAATGTATCCTTAAATCAAATCATGGGCATTATGAAAAACTATTGATAGAGAATTACTTGTCAAGTGATCCAGTGCTGGCTACTCCACTTGTTAATAGTATTATACAATTATGATTGTTTTGAACTGTTGCTTAAGTTTTGACACTTCAGCAGTAATGACTGCGGTTTAGCACATGGTTTAAAATTGCTGCAGTGGCAACTGTATTAATAGCAAATCTCTGCACTGACTTTATTGAATAGAGCAATAATCATAGCAGCTTTTCCCCATTAATGGTTGGAGTAATAAATTTAACAAAACTCTGGATTACTGTTATTTAAGAAATTGATAATCTTAAAACAACACATTTTTGTGACCAGAGTGATAAATTTAACAATAATTATACTTTAGTGGTTTCTGTATAATTAAAATATTAATGCTTGTGTGTATGTATGTGTGTGTGTGTGTAGGAAGCTATTTAAACTGTGAAATTAGGAGTAGGGAAGTATGTTCAACATGACCATATGTGTAAGGGAGGGGAGAATGTAGATAGTACTATGGATTGTAAAGGGAAAGGCATTCAGGTCCTGTGTCATGATATAAGACTGTTTAGATATTATTGACTCATATAGACACCATATATATAGTTCTCTTCTTGTTGTCAAAATTCCACTTAGGCCTATTCAATTACTTTAGAATTTCAGTTGACAAGCCGAACTATCTTTTCTATTACTATCACACTAGTATTCTGTGTGTGATTCACTTACAATTGTGGTGCGAGTTACCATAATCATTTGGTCTTCTTTCTTCTAAATGTCCTTTTTTTCATTTTGTCAAAGTGCACTCAAGCTGATTCAGTTACTTTAGAACCATGCTTTGATGGAATAAATTATTTTTCTTATCTCCTTTTCTACTGTTAGTCTTTCTCTAACATATTAAATGTTAGGCCTATGTCAATCATTAGGCCTATCACTCTATGATAGTTACCTTCATGCAGATCTGTTCCTTGCCTGTAACTTAATTCTCTTCTACTATTGTCTGTCTGGTGTTTCCACTCGTCTCACACTATTTACATGTTTATCACTTAATTGTCTGTCTGCCTTCTAGAAATCACTATATTCTCGACATCAATGTATTACACGAGACACTCATTGGTCTCAACATCAATGATTTATCAACACATCTTCCTACAATTGCCTTTAACTCTTATAATAACAGAAACTAAACAATAATAAAATATTCACTCACAAAAATAAATTATAGTGTCTATATTATGCCTATAATCTCTATAGTGTGAATAATTTATTTGGAATATCTATACTATTTTGAAAACAATGAAGTGCACGCTGTTCATTTATCGTTAAATTTATTGCCAACAAGTCACAGACACCAATGGTGTGTTTTTAATTTAAATGTTGAGTGACAATGTACTTCGTAATGAATTTATTGCCATTTATAAACTTGTCCACCTCTTGCCGAATGCACCCGTTCACTTTTTTTGGATCTTATTGCTGGAGTTAGCAGAAATCTTGCACCAAATTTTTGTTACAATTTCTCTTTCTAAGTTGTTCTTTGAAGAAAATCCAATTTGTCCACCAACATTCCATTTGGCAAATGTTGACAACAAAACTGAGTTTTGCTGGCTTAACCGAGACATATTTACGAGACAAGTGAAACCAGAACTGAACAATGATAATCTCTTATCAGTATGACAGCCCTTGAGGCCTTGTTTCATGCAGAAAAACAAAGTAGTTTATGAAATGCAGTTTAGGCCATGATCAAGTTTATTAAAGATCTTTTGTTGTTCTGAATTTGCTAGTAATTAATAATCTTTTTTATAATTTAATCTTTAACACATTGACTTAATTTTTCTTTTATAAATATTGGATGTGTATATAATACAACAATATGATTCGAAAGTATT